CGACTAGAATGAGAGAGAGAGGGAGTGTGTGTGTGTGTGTGTGTGTGTGTGTGTGTGTGTGTGTGTATGTGTGTGTGTGTGTGTGTGTGTGTGTGTGTGTGTCTCACCTCCACACAGAGCAGGAAAACAGTTTGTCGTCGTCACTCAGACCAACACTCATCAGCCATTGCTGTTTAGCACAAAAACAGAGGAATATTTATGTATAAAAAACCTGCTATAATTAAATAAATACAATATATATATTAAAGGAGTTAAACAAACACACAGAGAGAGAGAGAGAGAGAGAGAGAGAGAGAGAGAGAGAGAGAGAGACTCACCTCATTGGTTCCCCCTTGTGAAGCATAAGTGAACGAGCACTCATATTCTTTCTGAAATAGAAAAGTGGAAAAACAGATTACCAAAATGAAGTCTGATTTTTTTATTCATTTATTTAAAAAAAAGTGTATTATTATTACTACGATGGCAAGCTTTAATTCAAAACAAAAGGAACATAATGCTTTCAATGTGGATTAAAGTTAAAGCCTTAGTTTAAGCTTTAAAGATTATTCTTCAAATCATTTTTAGCATTTTATTGTTGTCAGTTTTGGTCCAAAATGTTTGTTTATTGTTGTTTTTGTGTGAAAGCACTCTGGGCTGCAGGTCTGTATAAAATATTCTTTATAAACAAAAAACGCTTCTAAATAAAAAAGAAATCCATAATTTAATGTTTATTTATTTAATCGTATTTATTGATCTTTTATTTTTGTAATTGTAATTTATAGTCTTGCACAAATGGTGTCTGTATCTCTGTAAAAAACAGTTCCTCAGGTATTCACGCCGGGAGCCAATGAGAGGAGCCGGTGTGGCAGCGACGTATCAGCATCTGATTGGCTGCCGTCAAAATGTAGTTTTTACCTCTAATTTCCTGATAAACTCGTATGTAGTTAATGTTTTTGCACTTTATTAAAAGATACACACAATACAAATCATAATGTGTTTCATTTCTATGTCAGATAATTAGAAATGAATGCACAATGGGGTTTATTCAGAGTTTATTACAAAAACCTGCACGTTTAATAGCCTTTATTTACCTAAATGTATTTATAAAGCCAATTATATATACACTTAGACGTTTATATATAGCAGATAAGTCCATGTGTGGTGTTTAAATTGCTTATAATGTCAAAGTAAACACAAATGAATGCACAATGGGGTTTAATCAGAGAGCATACTTGACACATCTGAACGTTTAATAGCCTAATTCACTTTAATTCACCTACTTTTCTACATAAAGTCAATTATAGTTACACAAACACTTTCGATTTAGCAACTGGGTGCACAAGTTGCGTTATAAAGGCTATTCATGTTAAATTAAAGACAATTTAATGAGTAATATGTTGACTCACTACGGCCTCTGTGAAGGTGTGCACCACGCCTCCCGGCTTCACGTTAAACTCCACCGTCTTCTGTCGCTCCGCAGAGGCAGAGATAGAGAGGAAAACGAGCAGAAAAGAGACATTAATAAAAACACACAAGTTATTTACGATCGCCATCTCTTCCTGCTTCTGTAGTGTGTGTTCTGGGCTTCTTCTTCTACTTCAGTTTTAGAGGTAGGATAGAAAATGTCGCCCCCTGCTGCTCCGGAGCCAGGTGGTCATTTACTGTAATGCAGCAACAATTCCTGAAAAACAGGAAACACTTCCTCATCATTTCTTTAAAATATGTGAAATATTTTAAAGAAATAGCTTAGATTACAAACAATAGAAGTGTGCTTTTTGAACTAGATTCAAAATATTTCCCATGAAGAAACATTTAAATATACTTTCAAGCAGTTTGAGCTGTTTTTATTTACACTTTACAGTAACTGGGTTTACTTCCTAAAGACCAGAGGTGGGAGAAGTACTCAGATCTTGTACTTGAGTAAAAGTACTCAGATCTTGTACTTGAGTAAGAGTATCAGTACCAGAGTGTAGGAATACTCTGTTACAAGTATTCAAAATGTTACTCAAGTAAAAGTACAAAAGTTTGCACCAACATATACTTAAAGGGACCAAAAGTAAAAGTAGTCATTGTGCAGATTGTTCAATTTCAGAATAATATATATGATCTGTTTTGATTACAATTATAGATGCATTAAACTAAAACTTAAAGGGGACCTATCATGCAAAATATACTTTTTTATGTCTTTTATAGATGTGTCCCCGGTGTGTCGGGGAACCCACGCAGCGTCAGAAAATAAAACCCTCTCTCTTTTCCTCCGTACCCAAATCTCTAAAAACGGGGCTACAATGGAGCTGATCCAGATTTATGTCCGATATGACGTAATATCTGAAATGTAGGCTGGCTTTACACCCACGGCCCTATCAGAAAGTTGCTATCAGAAACAATGCCCGACTGTTTTGGACGTAATATGGTCGGTGTTTACATTAGCATTGCTAACACTCAGAGCTAACCTGTACTGGAGAGCATGTGTGTGAAGAAGCTTTCTACCGCAAATCAGTACTTTTGAAACAGGAAGTGAATTAGAGGGATATGAGGCATGGCTAGAATGGGTGATCTGTTTGGTATTTTGAGCAAAACACTCCATAGACATGTTTTTTATATATTTTTATATATCTGAGATCTATTCTATTGCCTAAAAATAGCATGATAGGTGACCTTTAAGATAAAAGACAAACGCTGCATGCTTTGTTTCCTCTGATGTAAGTAGTTGCTCTGAAATAAGCCTGAAACAATGAGTTATTCTGAATACGGGTGCTTTGTGAATACTCTGCTGCACAAAACACAGTCAATTGTTTATCTACAGTACAAGCGCCATCCTGTGACAAAATGTCCACAAAACTCTCCCAGGAACAAATGCTGTTCATGTACATTCCTCTCTTTTTCACAGCTTGTTTTACAGGAGACAAAAACAGGCTCATGTCTACTGCTACATGTTTGCGTACGTGTGTGTGTGTTTCAGTGTGTGTGTGTGTGTGTGTGTGTGTGTGTGTGTGTGTGTGTGTGTGTGTGTGTGTGTGTGTGTGTGTGTGTGTGTGTTTTTGGTTGGCTCACAGTGCTTCTTGTGGGCAGAGGTTAAAATCCCCCTAAAAAAAATCTGGTTTCTTTCATTTCCACACATTATACCGGCCGTGAAACATTATTAAAATAAATCATGTTGGTAAAGCCGGATCCACAACACCACAGTATCACGTACCAAAGACAAAAAAAACCCAGTTTAAGATTACCAAATCTAATCTGTGACTGTAGTGCATCTGAGTCCATTAAAGAGGCAACGATAGCTCGGCGAGCATAATAAACCCTGAACCAATCACATATCAGTTTCATCAGGGGAGTTTCCAACATCCTTCGCTCTAATTGGCTATCATGTAATCCGGTGTCCCTGAAGACTTCTGCCTTTTTATCCATCCATTACTCCCCTCTTTCTCACTCACACCCCTCCCTCTCCTCCTCTTTCATTCCACCTTGTTTTATTCATTTAACTGACTTCCCTTTCCTTTTTTCAAATCTACACATTTTCTTTTGCAAATGAAAAACTTGACACCCTGCACCTTTTCCACTTTCCTCTCCCACACTTCTCATGCATTGATCTGTTCCCACCCTCTTTACCTTTCTTTCTCCCCCATTTCCCCTCTCTATCCCCCTTCCTCACTTCTTTTTCTCCCCCCTGTCCCTCTCTCTCTCTTCAGGGGGAGTCATTGAGTGTGTAATCGCTTGGTTACGGTGTGTCAGTCTGCGTCTGAACCCACCATCTGTCCTCTGGGCTTCCGTCTGGGACTGCAGACACACACACACACACACACACACACACACACACACACACACACACACACACACACACACACACACCCGAGCCAAGCTCATTCACACCACAATATGATGACAGCTGTATCACCCACCTATTGACATGAGCTGTCAGAGGGGCAGTGACTAACATAACACATTATGACATATCACACACACCCAGGTGGTGACTACAGTGAACATTCATTGTTACGAGTTGTAATGGTTCCTCCATTATGGCGTTACATCACAAACGGCTGTACTTTGACAATAATGGGATTTAAAATCTCAAGATTCAGTGACAGTTGTGTGTCAAGTGTCAAGACGTTTCAATCAGAGAGCAGATTGCAAATGTATAAGAACGATTCATAAAGCATGATGCATTAGCAATTCATAAAAGTGGAGACTTCTGCATTATTGATTTAGGTCGCCATTTTAAATTACCTTTCCTTTTCTTGACAAGTAAAATATTCTTGAAAAAAACTGCTGTTTCTCTTCTATAAAGTTGCATGATGTAGTTATGCTACAAAACCTTTTTAAATGATAGCTTCAGTTTATCCAAGTCTGTAAACAATAATCATGTGCCCATAGTTTTTGCTCACTATAAGCATTTCTTTCATGTATACTGAACATTAGAACATGATGATCCCTTCCTCACATGGTCCAATGTAAATAATGGGGTCACAATCCACAGTTCAGTCAGACAACTCATGTGTTCTTAATAAGTTTATTAGAGCAGCATATAGTTGAGTTTGGCGTCTAGGCTCGGGCCTCATCACTCCACAGATTTACATAGAACATTTAGTGATGATTAGATAACTATCCCCCGAGCCTACAGGTGGAAGCTGAGGTGGAAGCTGGGGTGGTGGTGGGGCAGGCGAGCAGCACGTGAACGCATCAACAATGTGACAGAGCCGCAGCATTAGCGAGACAGAGGCAGGCAGATCTGGCAGCTTAAATAGAGCGGCAAGTTAAGGAGAATGTGATTGGTTGGTTGTAAGAGGGACGAGGTGCTTCACGTGTTAATGTATCATTGGTGCTCGAGTTGACTGCCTGAACTGATTTCGCCCCATTTTATAGTTTTCAATATTTTATTGTATTCATTCATTTTGTCTTGTGTCTTTTTTGCTTTTACTGAGTGAGTTATCTGTTGTGAATTTTTTGAGTATTATTATTTTGTATTATCCTGCATATTTTACCTCCTTGTTGTCTTCCTTGAAATCGTATGTATGTATGCTGCATGTGTGTTAAAAGGTTTTAACATTTGAAATGAATTTCTTGTTTTCTGTTCATCTTATGTTTTGTGCCATATTGTTAAAGCACTTTTGGCTGCACTGTGTGCATGTGTATTATCAATATGGTATTAATATATGAAGTATATCAAAGAACATACATTGACCAATAACATACAGTATGGCAATTCTGTTGATAGATACTGGTCTTAAATGTGTAATAGTAGTAGATTATTGTTGAGAAAATGTTATTCATGTGAAGTGAAACATTCAAAGTGTAAAGGTTTTCCTATCTAAGGGATCACTTTGTGGGATCACTTTTTCTTTTAAATCAGTGATGTTTCATTTCTATTTTATACAGTAGTAAAATCCGCCAACAGATGGCACCAAAACGTAACTGATGTACTTCTGAGAAGATCAGCTTATATCTTCTTACAAACCAGATTTCAGTCAAACAGAATAAACCAGACCAACAAGTGACAAGTAAATATTTATTGCAGTTATTTGTACCTTATAGTTCCCTCTTCAAGTCATCTTCATATAAATACATGAACAAACTGGCAGCTCTGAAAGGCACCGACTCTTCAAACTAAATAAAGGAGATGTGGTTAAAGATAACTGTCTCACATGTTTCACACTGCACACCGACACATGTTCAATGTGCAGGCACTTCATTAAATCAGTGGCAACATTTTCACAAACTTTTGATTAATTCCACAGTAAAAAACAAATTACGTAATAATAACTTCTCCAGGTCAGGACATTAAACATCATCAGTTTATCTACATGTGACTGCTGATCACTTTTTGGTTAAAGCATCACACTGCAGAAACTCATCATGGCATCCCCACTCTTCATGTGTGATTGACTTAAGAAACAAAGAGAAAAAAAACTCCCTATAATGACATCTTAACACCCATACCAGTGCTATTGTACACTTTATTTTAAACATAATTATTAATGCAAAGGGTGGGATACCTAGCAAACAAGCACAGTATTCAAAAGTCTGTCCACTGGGAAATCCATACATACCAGCATTTGTGCAGACACTGAGAGAACACAATGTACTCAGCCAGCTCTGTTCCATATGTTCCATACAGGCAGGCGGACTCTCATCTTCAGACATGTTAACTCTTTCAACACAGTACCTTTACTTTATGTGTTGAATGTTAATGTAATATTTACCTTAAGCAGGTACATATCTCCAGTAGGAGATTGTTATTAAATAAACCGTGGGTCAAACTGACACACAAGATGTGGTACAGCCAAACAACAACTTCACGATGTAACACACTAATGCTCAGGACATTCTAGTATGTGGTGATGAGCTGCTTTTAATTGATGTGAATATGTTGGAATAGTCCTATAAATGCTTAATTCTTATCCCTTGAGAAATCCTTAGAGTCACAATATAATTCCTGCCTCTGAGGTCCTGATTCTTCATTCTAGTTGCTCTGTGGCTCCATCTGTGATTTTCTTTAAACAGCTGCTGGAAACAAGAATGGTGAGTGGCAGGCAGTAAACTACCACACTGAGCTGAGAGACGTTTCAACTCAGAGAACTCTGGCTGTTTCTACCAACAACTATTCCCACA